GCTCCAGCATGAAGTACGAAGCATGAGAGCTACAAGGAGTACTTTCAATCCACAGTTCTACTTTCACATGAAATCATACACTCAGGTGAGTGGTTACTCTCCAGTTAGCTTTATTTAAGTCTTTGTTTTCTCCAGGTTCCCTTACCACTATAAACAGCGTGCGTCTCTAGGACTGGGTCGAGCAGAGTATTCGGAGGCAGTGCCTTTCATTTCCGTCATCGCCCCTCTTCAAGAATGTAAATCGGCACTGACCGACCGCTCCTCGATTAAAGCGACTTTTTCGAGTCTTTCGAGGGGTAGTGTGCTCATGGGTAACCATCCCTTTTGGTATAAGTTACTGAATCATTTCTTACTTACACTTTGAACGTGTTCATATTTCAAGTCTCGCCATAATTTCATCGAGAAATCGTCCACTCGTCTCATCTCGATCACCATTCTGTCGATACAATGGGATTTAAGAAAATCGGCAAAATCATTTGCACTACATGTGAATGTGCAGTTACTGGCCGCCAACACAACCACGGAGATTCTCGATCGCTTAAGGGCACGTGAGAGCTGTTGAAAAATAGCCCACGTCACCTCGACCTGAAATACAGAAGCATTACGTTCTGCAGATACTTCCTAAGTGGACTTGGCTGAAGGCCAGGAGGTGCCACAGCAGTGAGCTCCACTAGGTCATTGGAAGCGGCGACCGGTTCTGGCACGAACGTACATCTAGACCCTTCCATTTCACAGAATCAATGAGGTGATATTGTTTCTTCAATGGGATGCCTCTCGCTTTTTTTCGGGAAAAATGTGGCCCATCACTGGTCGCCTAAGTTCAGCTGCAACCAGTCCAAACGACTGGTGCCAGATAGGAGCTAAGACCACCTTTTGAAGTGGTTCAGATTACCTGATCAAAATATAGCATTGAGATTGTAGCACCATAGAAACTGCTGAATTCACGAGAAATGCATTTCTTGTAAAGGAAATCGTTGTCGGACATCAAAAAATCCTGAAATTACCCGATTGATGCTATTGTGAACTTTTATGGATGACTTCAGCTGAAGATCCACAACGTAACGATGTAGAAGCGACAAACATTCATCTGAGGGTGTACCGAAGCAGTATGGCAACTTACTTGAAGAACTGCTACTGTACCTATTCGTCGCGGCGGAAGACGGCTCCAATTTCGAGCAATAAGGCGATTTATTGAACGACATACAAGGCGTAGTGACTGTAGAACACTAGTCGAACACTGAAATAGCAAGGCTCAGGCACAATGTAGTAACCGTTCCACGCCTGGAAACCCAGGGATACAGCTTTAAAAGAGGAAATCAGCGGTATCATCTGTCGTCCCGTTTATCATTGATTTCATCGAGTGGACGTCAGAAACGTCTTCATTCCTCTCTTTCGCCAGCCAATGTAATCCAGTGCAACGTCCTCGCCGAAGGAACACGAGGCATAGTCTTTCTTCCCTGTCCTAAGCTTTGATGAAGGAACGCACTCTGGTGTCCTTTTGGGGTCCCGACGGATAGCTTCACTAAAGCACTGGTCCAACGATCACCACAAGATGGGGTACGTCCGTTGTGCGCGTCCGTCGAAACCAGGCAACCCCGCCCACTTTGCTCGCGGTGCAGCCCTCTGCGATCTCAAGTTGACATTACAGTGGAGCGAACGATCTGTATTTGTTCGTGTTATTCTCTTTGGGCTGAGTGCCGTGGACCAAGCGCCAATCGTATGCCCCATTGACAACTGCGATGTCTGTCCAAAATCGCGGACTGACATGCCGTGGGCGACGGCTGCCACCTGGCCTAGTTTAGACGGCCACGCGCAACGAAGCGCACCCCTACAAGATCGTATAACTTGTCCGACCCACTCGATTTTCGACTTCTTGGCGTGGACAACGGCGTCCCTGATCTTCGTTTGTTGATGGAGCTCAGAACTCCGAATTCCCCGGGCCTTCATATCGATGAACGTTGTCATAGCCTAATGCTGTATTTCGCGACACTCAGTGAGTCTTATGACAGTGTGGATGAGATCGATTGAACTAGCTGGGCGCCGTACAGTTTTTTATCGACCATTGATACTAGGAAAGTATCGATTAGCTGTTTTATCCTGATTCCTTGCGCTTCAGCAATTTGGAGAATCGGTCGTGTAAAATACAAGTAACACTCCACGGAGAAGCTCACTTGTTCAAGTATTTTCAGTTGTACTTCTGGTGGAAGTTTCTGGAAAGGAAATGTTCCGAGACCAGAATCTTCCGTCGATGTGATGGCCGTCGGGTGATTTTCAGCTGCTCGTTGTCGTCTTCTGGAGGATGCGAAATCTGCAATGAACCATCACTTATTTCCTTCAGCGAAGATATTACTTCTGCATTTTGGTCACGGACGGCCAATTCAGGCGAAAATACGATAAATGAGTAAGAACCAATACAAAAATCGGAGGTAATAATGTAGTCAAGAGACCTCCGCTCTGTTTTTTACATTGTAGGCTGGACCGCGGATAAGGAGGGTACCCCATAATTGCGCTCAGCAGTGTTTCTTAGCCGAAAACATACAGTTTTTCACCTGAACTTCGAGAGGAAGGACACCGGTGTGGGTGAGTCAATCGAATACTCAGCTCAAACCCCATCCTAGCTTCAAGGTGGGCTATCCTTCCCTGTCTGCACTAAAGTACCCAGTGTTGAATAAGAGCAAAGCCCCCACCTCCTAACTACATTGTCTAACTACTTGGTAAAAGTAAGGAATAAGGCACGGCTTAAGCCGGGCGACCCATCTGGTAAATGAAAGGCGATGAAAGGGTTCCACAATACTTGCCTTGAGTATAGCTTAAAACTTCGTCTATCACTAAAAACTCACCACATAGGTAAAGCCTGAGCTGTCCGAAACCATCTTTTCGAAGTATCCACGGTGATGATCCGCCTCTGCCTAATCCCATGCAGACACCGGACACTTATTGCTGATGCCTTTAAAACTACTTCAGTGAATGAACACAACCGCGATCTGAAAAATCAAATTTGCAATGGTCCTCACCAACCATCCTACTATATATGATTCGCTAAGTTTGTCTGTTGGTTTGCCGGTGTGTGTGTGTGTGTGTCGGTGTGTGTTCAACCGCAAATTCATAACTCCTGTTTACGTGGACCTAGAAAACTCAAATTCGGTAGGAGTACAGGCGGCTGGATGGGAACAATTATAGCAGATAGAAGGACCAGACTCCGCATACAGGGGGGGGGGGGCGTGTGCGATATACCGCGATGGATTTCTATGCAAATCCATAATTCGGGGTTTGCACAAGAATTCTAAATTGAATCTAGAGCTTGCTAATTTGTTAGGTGTAGAAGGGGCAGGGTGGGGCCTCCTATGGTGGGTGGTAAACCTAGTTCCGCCCACAGAGGGCGTGGTTTGCGCGAAATAAATGGTTGAGCGGAAATTTATAACGCGTGCTCTTCGCATTAACAGGGGAATCTTGGCCTTTTAATAAGTGATGCAGGATGTGACGGGATTGTAGGTACTCGGTGACAGGAACCGATGGCAACTAATAAGGGTAGATAAGGGACCCAAGAGAGCAAAAGTCACCTACCATCAAAATCCTTATGTTTCGGTATTTATGATGTAACTTTGACCGTTCAGTATGTTTCATTTGATAAGGCGGGATGGTAGTGCAGGGTGACAAAAGTGAGTGAGTGGTAAGTGCAGTGATAGGGACCCATTACGGCAGTACGACAAGCAGATTAGAACTTTGTTCATTTCTTCCTACTAGTTTACGACCGCTACCCAGCAGAGTTTGTGACTCAATGAAGGATCCTCTTTGTTCGATATCATTTGCGACAAAACTTAATCGACCGCCAGTAATCTGGAATCCTCAACCAATGATATCACCCTACAGAAAAGATCTACTGATAAGGACATCTGATAATGGTGTTATCATTACTCGAAATATTTGTGAGTACCGCCCAAGGCTTCGGTTGCCTAACAATTGAATCTTTAATTAGTATTTACTTTCGAGAACAAAAGCAAATGATCAAGATTTCCAATAAAAGGCAAAAGCACCGACTCAACCTCAATACCATTTGTACTACCCTGTTAGTCCTGTGTCACACTTCTTATACAGGAAAATACTATTTGTTTCAATGAAGTAGTGGAAAGTCAATCGATTTCTACAACTTTGTCAAAGAGGGAGGGAGGTCGACGTTAGCTGGGCAAACCGACTGGTATAAAGTAACTCTGAGGATCGTTCATAGAAAAGTGGGGAAGAGATCGTAGCTTACGACATCGCGTTTTTTTGTTAAATCCCCATTCTTAATTATGCCTAAAAACTGCTTGGTCAACAAAATTTTCTGATTTAACAATCAGATTTCGATAGCTCCTGCTTAGTAGTAGTAAGGTCGAAGTGATGTTGACAATCGGCTTAACCTGCACTACTCGGTTACTTCGTCTGTATCAGAAAAGAAAGCCGCTAAAACAAAACCTTATCAAAAAGCAGAGAAGTGAACCATGTTCTTCTATGGGCATATGAGATGAGAAAGATTCCAATCATTGAAGCAAAGGTGAGTTTAAGTCATATCATTCATAGGATCGTCCATTCAAAAAGTCTTGTCGATGAACCTTCGATAAGCTTCTCGATTGTGAACCTGTATAACTGCCTATAACAGATTCGTAACTCGTTCTGCATGAAGCTGTTGCTGGTTCTTCTACTTCCGCGGAATCTACCGATCTTGCGAGAAGATCGACCGACCGTTTTGAAGCAAGTCTTGAAACCTTCTGACAAATCTTGAGCTTTGTTAGGCCAATGTTCCAGCGCCCACCGTCATGGACTCTTCGTCTTTGAAGAATTGGGGCATCATAAAGAGAAGTTCAAACGATATTTAACCCCCCAAAGGAGCCAGTAAACACAAGAGACCCTTCCCTCGGAGTTAGGTCTGCATAGCTTCAATATAACTACCGTGTATTTTAATATCAGATCCTGCTGGTGCTCTGATCGGTTTAGTGAGATCAGGTCAAATTTACTAGTCACCCTATTGGGCCGCCCATCTGCATTGATTCCTGGGCGGTGGCGAGTGCAGGAGCACCTTGCTCAATTTTCGAATAATTTTTCGGCTTTTTTTTTCTACTTTAACCTTATCTTATGACCCATTTTGATCTAAATGGAACTGCCATTTACTGTTAGTCCTTTGTTTCTAGGTGGTACTTGTCTATAATCCTACTGTTTCAATCTTTACCGTGCTTGCAGGCCCAGTCTCCCGATCACGTCTCAATTCACACTGGCACCGTTGTCTTTTCCGTAATGAATGGTAAGTTCTGTTTGTGTAACAATGACTACGAAAATTCTCTCAAGCTAATGCCTGGTTAATGCCTTCTATGTTTTCGCGTCTAAGGTTATATTGCTCTAGTTTTTCCATCCCAAAGGCTCCGTCAGAAGACAGGAATGGGCTTTAAGAAATGGCAAGAAAAGGGGTTGCACTGCGACTATCGTGACATTATAGCGTTTGTCCATTTTAATTCATCCTTCTCTTGTCTTCTAACTGTGGCTTTTAGGTATGGAAAAATTGAAAAAATCAATTCGGAAATGAAAACCAGGGAGTTTACTGGCATGGAAAAATTTCAGTCATGTCAGGAAAAAGAATCACTACGAAAGGAATGAAAGATAAAGCGACTGTAACTTTCTCGACATACGGCATCAGTGATGGTGCTGGTAAGGACAGAGTAGCTGTTGAATAGTAAAAGGTTCCGAATGCAGTCAAAAATACACAATAGTACTATAATAGTGCTTCCTGCATTAGGTGACTGTACCAAGCGGGCTCAAAGTTCGATTTGTACTAGGTGTAGCAGTGCTGGCGCGGAATTCTGAGTCAAGAGTCCTTTGGAATCTTGTCCACCATAGTTCAGCATAAACAGCGTGTCCCCTTCAACCTTGCTTCTATGGAACGCCAAACTGTGATGACAAAAAATATGCAACGAGTAGGAGAAAGAATAAGAGTCACGGTATTGCGTCAATAGCCTCCTCAGTCAGGGTTTTGTCGTTGGGGTCTCAACTACATCTTTCTGATGGAAGAACGGCGGCTAAAGATGGTCGATAGTGAAGAGTCGTCTGGGCTCACAACCAATGTTATCACCAACAAGAAGGGAATAACGAGAGTAGCCAGATGACGAGTTTGCTGATCATCTTCATACAACGGCAGGAGTAAAATAATTTGGTTAGGAGGATATGTCTTTGCACAAAAACGGATGTGACACAAAGTAGTTG